TTCTGTATTCTTGTCCAACATTCTCTAGCACTGAATAAAATGGTATGAGAGATGATGCCTTGGAAATAAACACCCTATCAAATTCTTATTATATTTTTACGAGAATATGTCAGCGATTCAATACAAGCAATGTTGTAGTGTCGGGTATGGTTGATCGATCGTCGTACTCAGAAATAATCATTTATACCGCGGTTGAAATAATTGAACCACAGTAAAATTATTGGCATTTTACCCAATTAGGGGTCGTGTTACACATAATTTAACTTCAGATAAATTATTTTCACCGCGGTAGAAATAATTCAACCGTGGTTAAATTATAATCCTTTGACCCAATCAGAGCCCTTGTTACACATAATTTAACCACGGTAAAATAATTTATCCGCGTTCAAATTATGTGTATCAAGGCCTTTGATTGGGTAAAAGGGCTATAATTTTACTGCGGTTAAATTATTGCCCTTTTACCCAATCAGGGGCCTTGTTACACATAATTTAAGGCCTGTGATTGGGTAAAAGGTCATAATTTAACCACGGTTGAGTACGATGGCCAACCATAGTCTGGCGTATCTTTAGGAAGCTAAACAAAAGTAGAACCCCCTAGAAATAGAACTCATTAGAAAGAAAGATTGTAAAGTAAAAGACATGCAACGTTCGCAGGACGGTGGCACGAGTATAAACACCGCATAAATAATTACTCGTTGCAGTAGTGGTTATCACCGTATATTTCACTACACCCTCAGCCCCTATACAACCTTCCTAATTTGCCGTCTGTTAATATAAAGTTGAACGCTGGTGTGACAATACTGTCAGTTGCTAAACTACAATTGCTAGAAAATTTTGTTAATGTTTTTAATGTTTTTATAAATGTTATACTATGATTAAATACCGTTACGGTGATATTAAGTAATTAATTAGACAATCATTGAAGTGAAGAGGGTAAAAGCTCGCCGGGTTTGCAAACAAGAATGTTATGTCTATAACTGAGCTGCTTAAGTGGGTGCACTACTAAAATCTATTTATCATGTATGCAAATTAACTGTATTCCTTATTAGACTGCCTGAGTAATGGTCTAAGTAAAAACTCATTGGTAGAGTTGAACAATTGTAATCCACCAATTGTTATACTTGGATTTTGAATGCGAATTTCCTTGCCGAGAGAACACTTTAAGGAGTTAATACACGACAGTGTCTACATTGCCCTGAGCCAAATTATTTTGCTAATATTTGCCATCTGATTCTAACATTCCTAAAATCACATTGTCAATTCCCACGATATCTGGCCATAAATGGCCAGTTTCCGACCGTCGTTACAAGCTCAGAATCGCGTACTAGCGAGCAATTAGAATGACCCATTCCGCATTTAATTCGCTATCCAAAAATGGATTCATGCAAAACCCGCACCGGCTTTTCTGCGTCTGGCAATAAAATATCGCTATTAAAATACTCCTGCTGTTGTCATAAATACGCTTGCACACACGCACACACACACACACACACATATATATATATATATATTTATTTATTTATTTATTCATTTATTTATTTAATTAGTTATTGTAGACATACGCGTTTCGTTTTTAACGATTGTCGTTCATATCTACCAGGTACACAAAGTAATAAACTAGATGTTGGCCGATTATGTTATTGACATTGGAGATTGTGGCTAAGCGCACCAGCGGATCTGTAACCACTAGGCCTACGTATTGTCAACGAATAATTGTTATGTTTACTGTAACTACGATACCTACAATAGATATAGGAACTGTTAGTGGCTGCAGCTCCAGCCGCTCCAATGAGGAACCGGAAGACCAGAAACCATGTGAAGTTAGGGGAGAACGCAGCCACGGTGGCGCTTACCGCAAACACAATACATGTGAGGATGAACGTCAATTTTCTTCCTTTCCTACAACCAATACAAGAAAAATATCGAGCTTAAACTGCTCGTTTTAATTCATATTTTGCTTTCTTCTAACAATATATCTGCAAAAACGAAAGTACTAATTAGAAATTATGTAGGATGTTGGTTTGAAACTTTTAAAAAGATTGTTCATGATACTCTTTTAATCTCACATTAGCAGTAAAACGAACTGAGCGTTATCTTTACGACCGGTAACCTGTCTTATCTGAAGTTGTAGTAACAATCAAAACCGTACACGTCAGCCAGATACGCCGGTATGAGGCATCCCACCAGAAAACCCAGCATGTATATAGCTTGGCCGCTGGCCGCTAGCCATTCCTTGCCACATACGAGGTTCCACTGAAACATTAGCGAGCAAGATGAGACCTACTGATCTGAGGCAGTCTTCAATAATGTAGTATGCTATCTTCAATGAGTATATTGTGTTTATTTGTATCTAGCACACGAAACACGGAACGATACGTACTAGCAGACATGTAATGATAGTTAGTTACTTCTACATGTTTGATGTACTATGCGCGCAATATTTTTGCAAAAATGTAAATTTACAGTCTTGTCTTGTTCATATAAGCGTAAAATACATTTTGGTTGTACTCGTGGGCCTAGAAATACTTACCTCAGTAACCAAGGTTGATCCACCTTTGCGAATATCATATATCCATTCATGCTGACATTGGCCTTCCACAGTATTACCCAGTAACGATGCCGGAACGCTCGCAAACGATTCATTCTGATAGATTTCTGCTAACTCAGAATAATTTCGTGCGACGTACATTTTGCACTGTGAGAAAACAAGCTTGTTGTCAACATTTTCGACTGGAATGCTGAGGTTTCGCTGAAGGTAAATCGGCAGGTGATCAAGTTCTGGGACTCGGCACCAGTGATCCGGTGTGGCCCCCAGTAGCGGCATTACCATGTTATGAAGCGCCAGTGTGAACTTTGCCGTACATACCATGATGAATACTATAAACTGCCATCTTCCTAAATTTCCGATAGTCGATAATAACTTTCCAAAGTCAAATTCTTGTTTCGACTGTTTAGTATCAACGGGACGGCTTGCTTCCATGTCCGACATACTGGCTGCTACTCGCTGTTTAACGAGTGAGTAAATTCGTATATGGACAGTTCGGTCTGGCCGGAGCAAGAATATATAAGCTCACACCGTCACTGATATCAGCAGATGTTTACTCTTAGCAAACTTGTCCCCGTGCGCGGGCGATCAAGGGGTAACAAATATCAACTAACGCAAATATGTCTTCAAAGTCTCTATCTGCATGAAAACTCATAGTGAAAATGGAATGGCGAGCGACTAGGCGCGCATCAATTGCAAGACGCAGTGTTCGCTTGTGTCAACCGCACGGCGCCGAAAGATTACTGACACCCTGACAAAACCAGCAAATAAACATAATATCATTTGATAGCATTTCACTAAAAAGTGCGAGCCAGGACACGTTACTTTTAATTGATAAGTCACGGACTTGCAATCTCGAAAAAAGAAGCGAATGCCGATTTAAAGGTGTCCTATATATATATATATATATATATATATATATATATATATATATATACAAAAACGTGAGGCGCAGTACATGATACCGTGTCACGTGCAGTTTGTATCGAGAATTGTTTTCAGTGTAAATATTTTCTATTTTTAACTTCTAACATCATATTTCGAACACAATTTTAAGGCAAACACTGTTCTCAGGCCAGTCATCAACGCGCACGTGCGTGTGCCCGCACGGGCGACTACATATGTACACGTATCATATGCGCGCACGTGTGTATATACACGCGTGCGCGCATACGTGTACATATGTAGTGCACACGCACACGCGTATAGGCGCGTCTAAACATCACTCAAACCCAATACAATGCTCAAATAGAATGACAATAATCGCGCTACGATAACGACGTCACGTGACAAATTTTTTTCTAGTAAGTTTTTTATGCACAATAACTAAATAAACAAAACATATAAAGCTTTAGACATTATTATTTTATTAATTACGTGACTTTGAGATTATTTAATCCTGGTAGTATAAAAAACAAACAACTTTTTGATGTTCAACCAATGATGTTTACTCAGGATTAAGAATGTCAACGAACACCTATATTTTCGATAATTATAAATTAGTAGCAGATGAGAGATTCCGTAACTATATATAAGACATGTGATTCATAGAAATATAGTGTAAATGGCATTTTAACATAGAGGATGACATCATTTATGAGGCATAATCGTCGATTTAATAAATGGTGAAAATGGGAAAGGCAGAAACAACGATTCTATCTATTGATAAGAAGTTAAATTAAAAATATTGTTAAACATGCTGCTAGGGAATAATAATTATTAACGTAAGACAGTATTTTGACTTAAATGCATATTTAATGTTATAGTATTAGAATACATGCACTTTCAACGAAATAATTATAGTAAGTTAGGCAATCGTACAACTTGTATGTTTTTGGCGTTATAGTATTGGAACCCACGCGCTTTCAATAAGATTTTATATACAGACCTAGACGAGACGATTAACGTCTCATGAATACCAACCAGATGTTTAGCCTGCACGTTGCATATAAACATTATATGTCACTATATTTCCGTATTGAAGAGCAGAAATATATTCGTGAGTGGTATAATCTGACGAGCAATCTTGTCGTAATAAAGATTTCTATTACCAGGGGTTTCGTGAAGGACTCCCAAAACAACTAAGGTAATAACGCCCCAATGGTCCTTAAAATGCTAGCTTGACAGAATCTTTTAAATATCTGGTAATTATTCGATCTCTCTGGTCCATCAAATCGAAACGATATTACAGCGATACAAGTTTCCCCCTTGTCGAGGTTGTGTGATGCATATCATCAAAAATGTATGACTTCCACTGCAGTTATATTATATATATATAAGGGCAAAGGTGTGTGAAAATTGTGAGGACTGTTTGATCATTTAAATGCTCACTAGTACTTTACGTAAATTGCCTGGCACAAAAAACTCGTGATACAAATTTTTTTGGGTATAATAATGTAAAACAAATATCAATAAAATGAATTTTTATTGTATGAGATAGAAAACACAATGGATGGTGTCGTTTGATGATCTCGATGTAGCAAAAACAGTATAGCAGTAGCTGTTAGATAGGCGCTATTGCTCTACTGCACTGTTATTGTCAATCGACGGCTTCTGTGGTAGTAGCGTCCAAAACCTCTGTTTTCTATAAAACGAATCACATATAATATTTATGTTTCTACTTCTGCCATTCCATCTGCCTGAACTGTATCTTGTCGCGTTGAAGGTATTTGTTTGGTTTGCGAGACGAAAAATAATACGCAATTAGCCAATAAACAGACGCTAAATCATTTGAGATTAGATTATAAGTATAGCAAAAATATTAGACACGAGACTTAATTTTATCAGTAAAATATATGATATAACAAAAATAATATAGCATGACGAATCGTATAAGAGTATAGTACAAATCGCAATATTTGAACTCACTTTCCAAAATTTTCGCCATCTTCTAATGTCTCTGGTAGCTCTTGGTCTTGTGTTTCTGGCAGAAAGAGGCCTGCTATACTTGCTGAGATGGCCAGTACTCCAAAAATGAGCAGGGGATATTCACGTCTATACATACCCTGACAAAATAGGTTAATTATCGATGTTGATAAAGAAAAGAACCCAAATTTTGCAAAATACTAGTGAATATTAAAATACATCGATACTTAAATATCAAAAGAGCACGGTAACTCTGTACGCACACATGACGTACAAAGACGTGCATAAGATTTATGATATTTCAGGATTTTCATCTATAATGCTTAACAAATTGATGAAATTTATCTACCTGCAAATTAAAACTTTATACTGTCTGTATTTTAGGTTGTAACAATTCTTTGTGGCAATAACCGTGGTATACGTACCAGTAAAGCAACGTATGGAGCTAGAATAGCTGATGCACGTGCCCATGTAGAGTTACTTCCAAGTCCAATATTGCGAACGACAGTGAGATACAGTTCACCACTGTACAGAAAGCAAATGCCGTATGTGCCACTTGATGCAAACATGCCAATTGTTGCTAACGTAACAATGACCCAATTCAAGTCTGCAAAAGTTAGTATAAACATTTTGTTATTGCTGGCTAGGTAAATTACTCGGGTAACTTTTTGACGTATGATCACGTGTATGTGACCCGGAAGTATTTAACTCGGTTAACTCGGTGCTCGCGATGCGGGTAGAATGTATTACGGTGGAAAATCAGCCAAATAGCGCTGAGACAGGTCAAGAATGAGATTTAAAAAAACTCTGCTGATGCATGGGAATTTTTTCGTAAGTATGGCCGCCAATGAGAAATGATTTCTTAGTGTGGTACCTAGAATGCTACCCGGGCTAAACATGGCCGTCACGCATAGAATGATAGCAGGTACTTGCTGTCCCGTGAACGCAACCGAGTTAAATGCCACCCGGCTATACACTCTGGAAAGTTACACTGGTAACTTTTGGCGCATAAACGGGGGCCATATTAATATATATCGACGCATGTCTGCAACCGAGGGCGTTAGCATCGCATTCAAAATCGAATGTGATAGATTAATATTGATTCCTATTTAATTTCACTAAATCCATGTCTAGTGCAAATGCCGCGCATCAGTTATCGTGCAACAGAACATATACAAGAGACGCGCGAGAACGAGAATAAGCACGCACCCACGCAAGTACACATACGTAGTGTATGAAAACTAAAATTGCTATGTTTGTAGGTCTAATTATACATTCGCACTTACTAGCTGGCCACGGTAATGCAGTTACAAGGCAGGTGATCCCTGCAAGCAACATGGTTCCCGATAAAGACAACCTCCGTCCCAGGTATTTGAGAATTACTGCCGAGAACAGCGTAGCAGGGATACCAACTATTGCTGAAGCAGCGAAGCTAATGTACGGGTCCGTGCCGAGGTTGGCAGAATTCATGGCCAACCCGTAATAAACCAGAGACACCACAAACCTGTCACATACGAAGACGATCTAGTTTTCCCGTTCACGCATACCAAATACAAAGTTTTGCCAGATAAAAACATTAATGATTAGTTTCATAGTAATCTAAACCAAACGGGCAAACATATTTGACAAAAATAGCAATTGACAGAGTTTATTCACCAAGTATTGTAATTGAAAGCACTAGAAACATGGATGATCTGTATTAGTAACTTCATGGACGGATCAACTGACAATACACCAAAAATGCACAAAGAATGAAACAGAGGAAGAATTTCAGGAGCGTGGCCCACCACATCGATGTTTAACGTCTAAAGATCTTCATGGTAGGTAAGAATCCATTAATAGGCTTTACATGTTGTGTATGTTGTCTAACAAGTCACTTTTATGATAAGCCATACAACAAACACACTTGTAAGCTGTTAACCGTACTTGGCTAACACGTGATCTATGTAATAACCTACCATTGATACATCATGTTAACCGACTTCTTCCTCATATTCGGAGTTCGTAATATGTCGGTGAAGTTGGGTTCTCTAGCAGAGGCATCGGCGGTGACAATAACATGTTTCTAGTCAGAATAAAACCTGCATTCATGCGTTTGTTGTATAAAATATACAGTTGGTTTGTATTTGGTTGGCATTTACGGTTGGTTTGGCTTCGGTACAATTCACGGGTTGTCCGGATGAGGTTGCGCAACAATGCAACATGTCTAAAACGATGTTACCTTCGAATCCAGTTTAAGTTCTACGTGGTGCGAATACATTTTCTTGTTGGTTTGGATTATGGTACCGGAAACTCCTCTAATTTATTAAGGTTAATAAATATGACCTACATGTCAGACGCGATGTTGCATGAATACCTTCGCATCTAGTTTAAGTTCTACATGATCTGGATACGTTTTCCTGTTTGTCTTTGCGACTCTGCGTAGCGCATTTTCGCAGTCATCTACTCGACCTTCGGCGTAGAGCCAACGCGGAGACTCTGGTATCGCACTAGATTAATCATCGTGGTAACAGGGAAAGAAATGTAGTAGCAGATAGAGTAGCAGTTAACTAATAATGTTTACGGATCGACCGTAATTAACTAATGTATGAAAATATTAAGCTGTATTTGATCGTTGATAAAAAGGAGTCGAATATAAGAAATAAATGCTACGGCATGCAGATTGTTTTAAAGTTGGCATTCACTGAATACTCGCTAGATATAGCTTAATAATAAAATGCTTGATCAATAACCATATCTATTTGTTTTATAACAGAAAATACTATAATGCCCTTAAATATGCTACTTACAAATACCACAACGGCAGTAAGAAAAGATACACGGATATTGATAGCTGCAAGGAGCGCCAATCACGGAAGATATAAGCACACAGGGCATCTAGTGCGTATCCCAAACAGTAGCCGGCTGCTGCCCCGTTTGAAACACGGTTTCTGTACTGCGGTCCAACGTTCTCTAGCACTAAATGAAATGAAGCGAAATGTAACCCCTTGCATGTAAATAGATGTTTAAGCAGAACCGACAGATTGACCCACTGTTATAGGAATTGATCAGAAATTAGATACAAGCATCTAGCGATGTTTAGTTTAACTTATGTCAACGAAGAAACACAGAAGTCGAAGATGAAGTAGGCCTAACATTCAACGTCTGTTTATAGTTTGGTTCATTTTGACAACGGATGAATTCTGTCCTCTGTAGTCGAACTTATACCCCGTCCACTTTACCACACCTTAAATAGCCCCTACCGACTTCCCAGTTAGGTGTCTGTTAAAATAAAAAAGAGTAACGCATAACGTACGTAGCTCTCAATTTTATCTACTCTTCTCTCTCTCTAGTGTTGAATTGTGATGTAATGTTTTTAAGAGATTTGGCGTAGCCCAAAGGGCCCGTTAGGGGTCATGACTAATAAGTAGACAAGCGATATATTGTGATGTGTCACGTGTTTCTACTGAGTGCTTTAATTGTGTGGTACATTGGACCCTGTCTGATAACAGTACGGATATTACAGACTCCTGCTTCTCCTGATACGCGGAATAACAAACAATCCTTAATCCGATTGCTAATTTTACTATGACTACGATACCTACAATAGATATAGGAACTGTTTACGGCTGCAGATCCAGACACTCCGATGAGGAACCGGAAGACCAGAAACCATGTGAAGTTAGGGGAGAACGCAGCTACGGTGGCGCTTACAGCAAACACAATAGATGTGACGACAAACGTCAATTTTCTTCCTTTCCTATACTTAATACAAAGAATAGTACTTGGTAATCGAACTTTAAAGGCTCGTTTAGTTTATATTTTGCTTTCCTATAGCAGTATCGTTGTGAAATACTGGTACAAAATAACGTAGGATGTGGGGTTAAGCTTTTAATTGCTCAAGGTACTTTTCTAGCCATATAAGCAGTGACATTATCTATACGAACGGCTATATATACGTGTCTCATATGAAGTTGTTGTAATGATAAAAGCCGTACTTGTCGGACATATATGCAGGTATAATGCATCCAATCAGAAAACCTAACATGTATATAGCTTGTGCGCTGGCCGCTATCCATTCCTTGCCACATACGAGATCCCACTGAAATAATAGGGAGCAAGATGTGGTTTACTGATCTAATATAGTATTTCTCTGTATATATAATACGAAACCCAAAACTATGCGTATCATTATGCGGCATGTGATGATAGAATATAATCTTTCTAAATATTTAATGTACTATTCGTACATTATTTTATAGCGAATATAATTATACAATCTATTAGTGCATCACGTGATAAATCGTTGAAATTCCATTGGATAACGCAGCAGGCACTATGAAGCAATAGTGCCCGCCTGAGCGGGCACTATTGCTTGCGCGACGCATTGTTATTATAACGCATTGTGTTTACGTCACGAATCTCCTGCGTCTGGGCGCCACGCAAGAGTTTCGAACGGCGGTTGTGTTTGTGTCGAACGTTTTGTTACATCGAATGCACCGGCAAATTAGGGAGTATAAAGAAGGTATATAAGCATGAAAAGTAGATTGCATAGTCATGTGATGCACTAAAAACATTAATGCCTGTTGTTGGGGGCACTATGCTCTCATAGTGTTGCTTTGGGAAGGAATAGCTAGTGCCCTCGCTACCGCTCGGGCACTATTCCTTCCCTCAGCAACACTATGAGAGCGTAGTGCCCCCAACAGCAGGCATTAATATATAAATATTGCTCATACATAAACGGTTCAAATGCAGTCATAGAATGCGAAAAAGCGATAATAAAACAAAATAAATTAAGCTATAATATATGTTATGTATAAGCGCACGTGTGAAAAAGGATCACATATACCTCGGTAACCAAAGTTGATCCACCTTCGCGAATATCATATATCCATCCATGCTGACATTGGCCTTCCACAGTATTACCCAGTAACGATGCTGGGATGCTCGCAAACGAATAATTTTGATAGATTTCCGCTAACTCGGAGTAATTTTGCGCGACGTACACTTTACACCGTGAAAAAACAAGTTCGTTGTCAATCATTTCCCGTGGAGTGCTGAGGTTTCGCTGAACGTGAATCGGCAGGTCATCAAGTTCTGGGACTCGGCACCAGTGATCGGGTGTGGCCCCCAGAAGAGGCATTATCATGTTATGAAGCGCCATTGAGAACTTTGTCGAGCATACCATGATGAATACTATAAGTTGCCATCTTCCTAGATTCCCGATAGTTGACAATACCATTCCAAAGTCGAACACCTGTTTCGGCTGTTCGCTATCCATTGTACCGTTTGCATCATTACCTGACATATTTGCTGCAAGTATCAGTCACAGGCGTGAGCAAATTTAGAAATGCAATGATCGCCCTGGCCAAAGAAAGGGAGTGAGTTTGCCCGGTCATTGATATCAACACATAATCTTTACTCTGAGCAACACGTCGCCCTGCGTTTGCGATAAACTGGTAGCAAATTCCAGCAACCAAAGGCTAAAGCAAATATTTCGCTAACATCTATATCAGCAAGAACGGCACGGTAAAACATGTAAAGAGCGGTTATTTTGAGAGCGGTTAGATGCGCAACAAGACGTTGTGTCTGCTCGTGTAAACCGCTGAGTAGGTGTAAAAGCAGTGCACGAGGTGCTAGGACAGACGAACTTTGGGCGAATCCGCTCACCTCGTTCATTCTCTCTGCTATGTCACTGTGGTTGATATGTGTCTGCGACCTATATTTCGGGATCTGTTGATCACGTAATTTCGTAATCGCTTTTATAATACGGAGTTATTATTTTAATCTCACTCAAATGTCAGAGGTATGTCGCACATACATGTGAGAAAGGAATGGAAGTATATTTATAGCAGTGAATTCCATGTGCGCCTAATAGAGTTGTGAGTAACAAGATAAATCTATCATGGCTGTCAACGTGTCACAGTTGACACATAAATGATGTTTGTGTGATTCTTAAATTGTATTAGCTTTTACCCTGTACAGACTGCAAATTTGATACCACATCAAAGTAGTGCGGGCCAGGCGCGCGTCAAATTTTTGCAGTGTGTACACGCTATCCCGCTCCAAATACGCGCTGGCCCGCACCAATTAGACCCGGCATATGAAGGAGGGCCAAGTTATCCCGGACCAAGTTATCCCGCTCTAAGCTGTGTCTGTACGCAATCCGGTGTCTAGCGCTCGCTAAGTTTCACAATGCGCATGCGTATAGCCTTATTTAGGTCACATAAAAGTACGGTAGCTGTCGGCGGGGTGACGTAGCAAGCTGAGTCAACCCGTGCTACTTTGATGGGGGATAAAATTGTGTGTCTGTACGCTACGATTTGGTGCGCGCTTGGCGCGCGACAGGCCCGTACCAGTTTGATGTGGGATTTACAGTCTGTACGAGGTAATAGTTAACATTGTGATGGTTAATGTCACCCGGCAGGCCTTATTATGTGTGTGGTGCTACCACCTGTTAAACCAAAAATAAACCAACAATTTAGCATTTATGCGAAAGATTGGCATGTCAATTTAATGATTATTACACTGATAAAAAATCCACAACAGCTTCACCCATCACTTTCCTTATTTTTAGGTATCCGCTGAACCGCCTTCATAATTATAAGTATGCTATTGTGTTATCACAGACATCAACCCCCTTACCAATATTATGCTATGCTATGCGATACTCTAGTGGCGTATGGGGTGATGTTGCCTCGGTAACACGTAATACGTACATATGTACGTTTTCGCGACCTGAAAGATGCAAACTTAAACGCAACCACCAAACCACATTGATTTGTTATTAGTTTTAAACAGTATTATTACAGGTGACAAAATGAAATGTCTATACATAAGGCAAAAGCGTAGCTAACCCATTTTTCTGGGGAGGGGGCAAAGCCATGTACATGGTGTGTTCAAGGAAGGTGACCGCCTTTGACCATGTATTGTATCTACTTTTTTTCTGGGGGGGGGGAGGGGAGCAACTGTCCCTGTGCCCCCTCTCCCCGGGCTAGCTACGGCCCTGTAAGATCAATTTTAATATAACGGAAAATAAACAACTCATGCTATTTTGTAACTTTCACAGTGTTATAAAGCACGTATATTTTCGATAATAATGAATTAATATCAGAAGTTGAGAAAGCTTAGGAGTTTTGGTCGTTAGAAGACATATGTGATTCGTCGCAGGATAGTGAGATGTAGTCTTACGTTGTTGTCACACAGCAAGGGCGATGACAAGTGAAATTTGTTCATAATACACCACAGAGGATATCACCATTTACACAGCACTGGCCACAATAACACCGAACGCGTCTATTGATAAACGGTCCTGATTAAACCTATTGTAAATGCGCTGTGTATACCGCGTTCCAGATAACTGCTAGCTAAATACCATCTAGAGATCTACCGTATGAGGTAATCCTCTCCAAGGTCCCTAGAAAGTTATGGCTTGACATTAGAATAATTTTTATAGCTGATGATCACTAGGGCTCGTTGGTCCAACACTCATAACCGATATGATGCCTCTTCCTCATAGTGGTTGTAGTAGGTATTGTAAAATATATCACTGCTCTTGTAGTTAACCTATTTTCGCTGCTTTACAATATACATAACATCGATAGTAACGGTCAGGCGGAGGTGAGAGAAATTCAGTAGTAGACTGATAGGATATCGCACTGCGCATTGATTTTCTAAGCTATATAAGTCATATAAATCATGCCACTTTTTTGGTATCAGTAATACAAATACTAGCCAATAAATTTACAATACATGAGTTATAAAACACAATGGATGATGACGGTGCAGAATCTCGATGCAGCAACACAAACAGTAGAGCAGTAGCGGTTAGATAGGCGCTATATTGCTCTACTCAGAGCATATAAATCAACATTATTGTTGATTTATATGCTCTGCTCTACTGCACTTGTTATTGTCAATTGGCGGCTTCTGTGGTAGCAGAGTCCAAAACCTTTGTTTCCTATAAAACGAAGTCACATAATATTTGTGATTCGATTTTTGCCATTTTATCTACCTGTATTGCATCTAATTGCGTTGAAAGTAATTATTTCGTTTACGGGACGAAATATATTGCGTAATTAGCCAATAAACAGACCATTCTGTTTTGCCATCACTAGTTAGATATTGCTCGCTAAATCAATTATGTTGAATACACGCGTAGCTAAAATATTAAACCTAACACCTTACTGTATCCGTAAAATATATAATATAACAAAGATAATTATAACATGACAAATTGTTATTTGCGATTAGTACAAATCGCAATATCTGAACTCACTTTCCAAAATTTTCGCCATCTTCTAATGTCTCTGGTAGCTCTTGGTCTTTTGTTTCTGGCAGAAAGAGGGCTGCTATACCTGCTGAGATGGCCAGCACTCCAAAGATGAGTAGGGGATACTCACGTCTATACATACCCTGACAAAATAGATTAAATGATGGTGTTGATGAAGAATAGGAACCAAATTGTGTAAAGTACTGGTGATATTTAGAATACATTACCAGCAAATAAAGGTTAAAAGAGCACGAGTAACTATTTGTGCGCCCACTACGTACAAAACGTGCACAAGGCATGTGGTATTTTAGGATTTTCATCTATAAACTTAAAAAATCTATGAAATATCTAAACCTGCAAATTTGTATGTCTGTATTTTATTTTGTAACGATTCTTTGTAATAATAATCGATGCACATACCAATAAAGCAACGTATGGAGCTAGAATTGCTGACACACGTGCCCATGTAGAGTTACTTCCAAGTCCAATGTTGCGAACGACTGTGGGATACAGTTCACCACTGTACAGGTAGCAAATGCCGTATGTGCCAGATGATGCAAACATGCCAATTGTTGCCAACGCAACAATGACCCAATTCAAGTCTGCAAAAGTTAGTACAAACATGTTGTTGTTGCTGGGTGGGTAATTATCCGGGTAACTTTTGACGCATGATCACGTGTATATATATGACCCGGAAGTATGAGATCGTTTTTCAGTGTATGTGTGCGCTTGCATTTTTTTATGTCTCATTAGAAAGGGTTAGAACTCTTTGCAATTGATTAATTTCAAAAACTAGAATCTTTGCTGAATCCGACAGTGTAAGCGGCTCGTCCAGGGTGCATTGCTGGCGGCCGGGGAATTTTCAAAGGAAGCCTACTTTTTCGTGTAAAATCACATTGCAAAGTGGCCATTTTGAGTGTGTGCCGGGAAAAGCTTGTTTACAAAAAAAATTATGGAAGAATTTTGAGTTAACAACATATATGGTGTTACTTGCGACGTGGATTCATAGGATGGCATTGTGATTTCAAAAAAAAACTTTTGCTGATTCATGGGAAATTTTTCGTAAGTATGGCCGCTCATGGGAAATGATATCCCAGTGTGAGTGTGGTACCTAGAATGCTACCCGGGCTACACATGGCCGTACGCATAGAATGCTAGCAGGTACTTGCTGTCGTGTGAACGCAACCGAGTTAAATGCCATCCGGCTATACACTCGGAAAGTTACACTGATAACTTTTGCGCATAAACGGGGGCCATATTAACACAACATTAAAGGCGCTAGCATCACGTTTAAAATCACATGTGAAAGACGAATGTCGATTCCTATTAAATTTCTCTAAAACATTTCTAGCGCAAATGCTGAGCTTTATATACAAAGATTGCAACAGAATATACACAAGATTATGTTTGCGTAATAGAATAGGCTAATAAAGATACGCGTGTGTGTGCGTGCGTGCGCATGCGCGTATGTGTGTATATGTGTGTGACAGCTACTTTTAGGCAGTATGACGATTTCCAATATACAAATTTGTAATAAGTAAAATTGTAATTCTAAATTGCATACGTATATATATGTACCCGCAAGCACGCAATTACGCATACGGGCATATATACATACGTAGTTTTTGA